CCCTGAGTTTTGTTTTGTTTTTGTTTTTTTTTTGCCACTTGAGCCTTAGCTGGACTTCAAGCTTTTTGTTAGATAATTAGAGATAAGAGTGTCATGAATTGTCTGCCAGGGCTGGCTTTAAACCACTATTCTCAGATCTCAGCTTCCTGAATAGCTAGGATTATTGGCAAGAGCCACTAGCGTTGTTTTTTTGTTTGTTTTTGGTTTTTTTCACTTTTTGACAGTACTATGGTTTGAATTTAGGGCCTGGCACTTGGTTGCTGACTTGGCTGCCACTACTACTTGATCCACACCTTCAGCTTGATTATTTTGCAGATGGAGTATTAGAAAATTTTCCGCCCATACTAACCTCAAACCACATTCCTCCAGATCTTAGCCTCCTGAATCACAAACCATATAGATTACCACAGTGGTAAGACTATCTGGCCTTTCACCCAAAACATGCCCCCATCCATCCTCTTCTCTTCTCTATCACCTCCCTTTGCTCCCCTCGACAGCCTCCTGAACAGTCTCACTCCCACACATTCATTCTCTTACCATCTAGTCTGTGCATAGTGCACAGGGAGTAGACCTCGCATCCTACTCCTTCCCTGTACTACAACGCCAAACAGCTGCCCATCTACTTCTTAGAACAAAATTAAGTCTCTTGTCAGCCATGGCCTTTACAATGCTACTATGTGACCTAGTCCCTATTCTACCTATCTCTGACTTTACCTACCTACATGTGCCCTTACTCGGAGGCCTCCATTCACGCTGGCTTAGAAGCTCGAATCAACCTGAGAACCTTCGCACTTAGCCACTCCCTCTGCCTAAATACTCCATACTCAGATCCTCACACAGCTAACTCCCCCAAGCCATTCAAGTCTCAACCAAAGCCACTTTCTTCACATGGCTCTCCCTTACAACGTGCACACTGATTCAGCCCCCTCTCACTCCAGCCATCCCCAACACCTCAGGGACAAGCAGGTTAACTGACTTACAGATAAAGCTTACCTCCTGAAAAATAACAAGATGTACAACACACGATGGTTACATATTTGCACCTTATATGGATAAGGTAGTGTGGGAACTAAGACTTCTGTACTAGCCTCCTTAACCAAGGTTTCTCTGCCTCCTGGCCTTCACATAACAACTCTAGTACTCAAAGAAGTACCACCAGAAATTGAGTGAGGAAGGTTCTCTAAGATGGCCACTCCTGACCCATCTCTGGCCTAATTACAATGCCACACAGTGTACAGGATATGAAATCCCATATGGAGGCTTATGTGCAGATAAGATGTCCACAGGGGGTGCAACTTGGGCATCCCTCCCTTTCAAGAGCTGTCTTTCCACACTTCCTCACAATCCATGCCTTCAACCATCTCTTGTGGTACAAGCTGTTCTCAATGTTAACTGCCTAAAAAAATCTCACTGCTCCATTAGTTCCATGTCGTCTGACAATGACCCCACTTTCTTTGTGCTCTCTCAACCCCCAATAAGAACTGAATGTACCTGGCCCCAAACATCCTTTAAGAGATCAAATTTGAGTCCAGCCTTGAGAAGCCAGAGATCACCTCATTTTTCTCTTGGCAGGTGGTCAGCATACAGCTGGTAGGTAAGGGGTCACTGCAACCGGGGACAAAGGAAAGATTTATCTACAGGCTTCTGCTTCTTCACCTATAAGATGAAAGATGATCACAAGGTGATTCCCAAAGTCCCTTTCAAACTCAGGGAGGACCACAACCACAGCTCCATTAGAAGAATGTTTCAAGGATCCCAGTATTTTCCCCGTCTAGTGACCTTCGATTAACACAAGTTCAGAGAACACTGACTACACATGACTTTTGTTGACTCAAAGCCAAGATAAAAGGGATAGGATACAAGATGTCAGCTTGGAAGAACTCCCCAGCAAATCAAAGCTAGCAGCCTCTTGGTTCTGAAACCCACCAAGCAGTTGAGGAACCTGTCCCAGCCAGCCCCCTGGCAAGCCCTTTCTTCTCACTTTAGTTTTCATAATGAACACCAAAGTCTGTCTTGCTTACATCTAAAAATTGATCAGTTATTTTGAAGATGGAATTGTGTGACTGTCTTAAGTATAGTTAAAAATTCTTTGTTGGTATGATGCCATATATCTATAATCCCAGCACACGGGAGGCTGAAATAAGAAAACCTTGAGGGTCAATAGCAAGACCTTGTCTAAAAAAAACATCTTCAGGAACAGCAATATCCAAATATAAACCCACCACTCATCACTGTCCCACAGTCTAGTCTTGGCTGCACAGACCCTAACAACCTATACACACACCTCGTTTTGCCATCAGGTTACTCCTGTCCAGCCTAGAATACTCTGCAGGGATAGCTTTCTTCCTGGTGCCAAGGGAGAGGCAATTGGCCTCTTCTTATTAATGAGGTGCAGCTTAGTGCATTATGAGGCGAGCTCAAGTTTCAGAGACTAACCATCAACACTCCCTCTTTACAATGTCCTGCCCTGGACAATCCTCTCCCAGCCTGATTAACCAGACTGCAGTTTCTTCTGGCCCCATAAACAAGAAACACAGTTCACGTGCCTCATGCATGGGGTGAAGAACGAGAACAAACAAATGTTTGTTTGACATATAACTTCAGTTACTAACACAGGTTACGAGACTATCAATGTAATAACGTTTTGGTGAAGATGCCAGATAAATCCTTGCTAAATAACAGTTTAAAACTCTGCTTCAAGCACAAGTATATATTAAGTATTAACACACTTGTCACCTTGTAGAAACAAAGAAATTTGTACTATAACATCCAAATAATGTGCAGGTGGGTTGGCTTTCTGGTCTGTGTAAGGCTAGGAGCAATCTGATAAAGCATTTTATCTTTTTAAAAGAAATTTAAATCCAGGAACACCCTGAGGATTGTAAAACTTATTTTTTGTTCACAAAAACACACACTATTAACTTCATAAATAAAGTAAAATATTGTGGTTCATTTTAAATCAGGTTGTCTTTCTATGTTTGTGTCAGCTACAGAATTAAAAATGCAATGTACAGCTCTCAATTGTTTAAAAAGGCTGTGTGATGGAAGAAAAGGAACAGCAAATATGCGACTGAAGTTCTGGTTTCCAGCCTCAGTTCTAGTAACTCCTAGCCAAGCTGCCTGAGGCTTGGGGTCTCACATTTGCACTGTGCTCTCCCATGGCTGTTTTCATTTCCAGACAGAGAAATGCCCCCATTTTCCTGGCACTGAGGATCAAGCTCACTGTCTTGGAAAGTGTTCCATTAGCAGCTTCCTAGGGTAGACAGGAAACCACAATTCGCTCTACAGAATTGAACAATCCATGTTCCACAGTCCACATCTGAACATGGATCAGCACATTCACACCTGGTGAAATAAAGCATGGATGATGGGTAGTGGGAGTATATCCCATCATTCTCTCTGCTTTGGGGTATGCTTGAAGTTTCCCATAGGACAGTTTTTGTGTTTTTCACAACTAGTTGACTTGTTTTTCAAATTCTCCTTCTCTAGCCATACAATACTTTCATAGTTCTTTGATATGTCTGGTTTTCCATCCAATGATGATTGACAGCTCAGTCAACCAGGCCATTTCTAATGCAATGCCCTAGATCTGCCCCAAACTTGATAATCCAGAGGTCTCACCTGGAAGTAGACAGGCTGCTTGGAGGTGGCAGCCCCACAACGAGCCATGTATCTTTTTCTCTGCATGGATCTACCATCCTGGGAGTCCTCTGAGGTCACAGGAAGGAATATTTATCTTCGCAGTTCTTCTGTCTTGTCTCATTCATGCTGCTAGATCGAAGCCACTCTGCTTCTTATTCCTTGTACATTACGCCCTTCTCCCTTGGCTTTCATAATCATAACAGTTTTGTTTTAAATTTCTCATTGCTTTGAGTTAGCTCTCTTTTTATTCCTTTTGCTGGGCAATGGGTATGTCCTTTAAAAATATCTTGAACTCTAGTAGATTTTCTTAAATTATTTCTTCTGTAATTTCTTGGAGTTCTCAGCTTCATGCTAAACCTCTGGGCTTAATCTGTAGGCTTTTTACCTTCCACACTTTTGATACTTCTGCACTTTCATTTTACTTTCCAATTACTTTGTCTTATTTTCCTCAGCCTTACTTTCCAGCTTCATCATTCAACTGCCTTCAGCAATCATGTTTAACCTCTAGGAGCTCTAACTATTCTTTCCCCAGGCATCCTGCCCTTGTTTTGTGGATAATTTATCTCCTTGAATTCTGAGGACACTAACAAAAATTTTTCCCAAGCTACTTTTCTATTTTCATTTAATTCACATACTTTGATTACCATGTGTTCTTTTCATATGCCAATGATACTGGTTCACTTGTCTGACTCTGCCCTAGGAGGAAGCAAACCTGTATTCACGATGAGCAACGATCCATTATTTTGTTGCTTTTTTTTGGGGGGGGGGCAGTACTCAAGTTTGAATTAATAGCTCTGTACTTGCTGAGCAGGCACTCTACCACTTGAGCCATACTCTCAGCCTTGCTTTTTGCTGGTTATTTTTGATAGGACCTCACTTCCAGTCCAGGAATGTGCCACCTTGATCTGCCTAGTTTAGGCTTCTCATAATTGCTGGGGTCACAGACTCATGCCACAGTATCCAGCTTCCACCTATGCAGATTAAGCTAGAAGGACTTTTCTTCCCAGACTCACCTGGAATCACGGCCTCCCAAGTAGCTGGGATGACTGGTGTGAGTCACCGATGCCTAGCTCATTGATTTTTTTTTTTTTTTTGGTCAGACCTGGGCCTTGAACTCAAGGCCTGGGCATTGTCCTTGAGCTGCTTTTGCTCAAGGCTAGCACTCTACCACTTAGAGCCACAGTGCCACTTCTGGCTTTTTCTATTTATGTGGTATTGAGGAATTGAACCCATGGCTTCACGCATGCTAGCCAAGCACTCTACCACTAAGCCACATTCCCAGCCCTACCTCATTGATGTTTTTTATAATGACTACTACAACGGAAGTACCCACTTGCACAAGAAGCTACCCAGCTTACCTTCATGGAGTCGGAGTATAAAATATATTCCCTGAGCACAGGCAGAAAGTCTTCTGTCATGTCATCTGTCAGCTCTTCCAAGGCTGTAGAGCAGTTCCCAATGCAAGCTGACACTCCCTCCAGGGGCTGGGTCAGCTCACCTTCTAAGGCACTCCACGTGGAGTACACAGGCCCATATTCTCTGAGCTCTACCAGGTACTCTACAGAGGGAGGGAAGCCAGTTACCACTGGGAGCACTCAGTGGAGTCACTCAACAAAGATCAAACTGGTACATTAAGATGCGGAGCTGTGACCACTCCCTCTTCTGAGCATTCTCTCCTCCTAATACAAAACCATTCCTAACATAATTCTTCAAAGACATCTAAAAGCCGATGTAACATCTTGGTCTCTGGATAATAGAGGCCACAATGCCATATCGAGAAAATGGGAAGAGATCTATCTTCAGAAATAACCACTTGCCTACCCACACTGTGAAAGTTTTGTTTGTTCATTCATTTATTTATTTATATTTTGGAGTTAGTAACTGGGTTTGAGTTCAGGATCTGGAGCTTGCTTGGCTAGCTCACATGGCTGGAGTTCTATCATTTGAGCCTTATCTCTAGCCAAGTTTATTTGCTGGTTATTTTTGAGATGGAGTGTCTGTCCAAAAAACCTGAACAATTATGGTTACAGACAAGCGCCACCAGAGTTTAGCTGTAAAGCAGCAGGATTTTTTTTGTTTTTGTTTTTGTTTGTGTGTGTGTAAGATGGGGTCTAGGTATTGTCCCTGAGCTTTTCTGATCAAGGCTAGTGCTCTACCACTCTGAGTTACAGCTCCACTTCTGGTTTTCTGGTGGTTAATTAGAGATGAGTCTCATGATCTTTCTTGACTGGGCTGGCTTCAAACTGCAATCCTCACATCTCAGCTTCCTGAGTAGCTAAGATTATAGGTGTGAGCCACCAGCACTCAGCTGGAGAAGCATTTTAATAGGCAATGGAGCCAGACTTTAAAAAAAATAAGTTTAGGAACAATTTTTAAAGAAGAAACAAAATCAGACTCCATGGGAGAACAATGAATGTAGGAAACATTTTGCTGAAGAGATTGTGGTTTTCTGTAAACATACTCAAGTACCTCTCAGTGTGAAGGCTCACTGGCTACAACTCTGGCATATGCAGACTCTCTTTTTGAGCCATCCTCCTGCCCAAAAGGTTCCTAAGTTCATTTTTACAGCTTTCATTCATCTGGGTGAAGGGCAGTTGCATCCATACCTCCACTTCTAAAGCTATAATTAAGAAAAACAGGAGGAAAGACTTGGAGGCTCAGAAGCAAGTGCTTGCCATGAGAAAAGCAAACATAAGGATGAGATGCCTTACTTTCTACTCATAACCAGCGCCTCCTCTCCCTGTATCTATTTAGCTGGTAAACAATGGCCTGGTTCTATCACTGCAGCGCTTGCATAGTTTCATTTTACTCAGCACATATGAACGCCATTGCGGCCACCGTGGGCCCCTGCACATAATTAGTGTCTTTGACAGAGTGCTCACCTATTTCTTCTTTGATGATCCGCTGGGCTATTCGATCAATGGTTCCCAGTTTGAGTGCGAAGGTGTCTAAGTATTCGCCTATAGCTGCGAACTCCAGAGGCCGACTCCTCAGCTTGTAGCCTCCTGCGACGTGTTTCACTGACTCACCCACCCGTGTCAGCAATGCCATGCCCTGCTTCTTATAGACATTCAGGTCCTATGGACAACATAAACAAACTCAAAGTGCTCTACACCCCATAGCCAGGACTGAGTGAGCCAAATGGTCAAGGCAGCCTCTTGTTGGAAATAGGAGGACTGGGACAACAAGGAGCTGACTTAGTCAACCTGTCACTTACAGTCTAGTGTCCCCTAACTGACATCATAACCCCCAGACTGGCACATCCCAGGACCCTGTCCAGATTTTTGTCACCATTGCTGGACTCCAATCTCTCCAGTCAAGACCACACACCTGAACCCCCGTCCTTCAAACACACTGTCTCAAACATTATTTTTAAACTTGTAACCCCATGTTGTCTATAGGAACAAAATTAAAGAGCTGGTATTCATTCTGTTCACTTGCATCTAACTAAAGCCACATGACAGGAAGAGGAAACTATAGTAGAAGCATGGCTAGAAAACACAGGCCAGAACAGATTCTATCTGCACTTAACAAGAGTTTGGCCCTTGCTTTTCTTAAGGATGAATGCAAAACTAGGAAATATGTGCATATGCAAATGTACAGAACATACTGACCTGCCTGGTATGATAAGCACCTTCCTATCACTAACCTGTAAGAGGATTCTGTAGTGCCTTTGTTTGTCCTATGAACTGGTACATTCAAAATGGTTTTTTAGAAGCTACAGATTCTGTTTGTCCACCCTCCATATACATAGGGTGTTCAATCTTAGTTCCCTAGAAGGGAACATAGAACAGGGCTACATTCCTCAGATTTAATGAAGAACAAAAATTCTATTGGGTAATGTGGCTGCCCAACAACCCCTCCTTGTCAGACACACTTCCTCTTCCATGTAGCCTTCATTTCTACTCCATCCTATGCCAGCCAGCCCCAGCCAAGGCCTCTGCCCTATTCATTATCCACTTTCCTGCCTGCATCGTCCACTTCTGTCCTTCAGTGTGTAACACAAGAGCCATGTGTAAAACAATAGCAATTCCCACTAATCTATCTCCATCCTGTGCCCCATTAAACTCTGGTTGTCTGGGAGACTGTCCTGAAGATTCCATCTAACCTCCCACACTCTAGACAAGAAACAATCTGCCCATTTCAGGCTTTTCATCATAAAAGGGAGAACAAGTACATGCTACTATGCATGCCTAGCTTCTTCCAGCCTCCTAAGTAGCTAGGCTTGCAGGTATGAGCCACCAATGCCTGGCTATTGGCTGATTCTTCAGTACACTTCCAGTTTCATGTCACAAGGAAAGAGAATGCCTTTACAATTGCTGCAGAACAGGTAACTCATCTAGGAACAAGTAATGCAACCAATGATAAAGGAAACCATGGGGGAGCTTGGGGAGGGGGCAAGCAACTACTATTTAACCAGGGTACAGAATGAAAATGCTGTAGAAACAGTACAATAATGTGAATATACTTATCTTATCACTGGAAAGTGGTTAAGCTGGGTAATTTTACATCATGTGTATTTTGCTATAATGGGGAGGTGAGGGAGAGAGAGGGGCAAGGCCAGCCTCAGATCACAGTTCTTCTACTAAAGGCTTCCTTCATTAGCCAGTATCACAGATACATGCTACCATACCAGTTTGTTGGCTGAGAAGGGGCTCCTTAACTTTTTCCTGGGCTTGCCTCAAGCCATGTTTCCCCATGATGCTCCAGGTCTCTACCTCATAAGTAGCTATTATAGGCATGAGCCATTACATGCAGCCAAACAACTTTTTGGAAAAGAAAGGAACAAAGAAAAGAAAAGTAGTACTATGCAGTAAATTTAGTCCAACAAGTAGTACCAAACTAGGGTTGGAATTGGTTTTGTTTAAAGATATCTCTTCTATATTCACTTAAGTAACCCTAGATTGGCTGACAATACTGAGGGACACTATACATTTTTTAAAAAATTTCACTTAGTTTGAACCACAAATCACTTTCTCAGTCAGTATCACAGATATGTGTCTGTCTGTGTGTGTCTGTGTGTCTGTCTCACACACAATTTCCCACTTAATCTTCAAATAGATTCCTAGGAGCCAGTTATGCCTTTCTCTTCCCTGCAATAAAGAGTCAGCTTGAGGTCTTCTTGACAACAGACAGCAGACAACAACCTGAGGGAGAAAGTTAGCTGTACGTCTGGAAAATAAGATGGACCCAAGTTGAAAGAACTATTCCTGAAGACCTGATCACCAGGAAATACTGTTAAAAAAAAAACAAAAACAAAAACCAGCATCCAACCTGTGGTGAAAGGCTTGGGAGGAGGGCAATCAATTTGGTGTGTTGTCAATGAGGCTTAACGTTAACAGAGACTAAAATAACAAAACTAGAGGACTTTGCCAGGTGGTTTCCACTGAATGCAGAATGAGCCCTTCTCTAATGCCTTTAATACTGGTTGATATTATCTGTAAATGTTTCTCCATTTTGCAACTTTGACAAAAAAAAAAAGGACTGTATCTGGCCCTCAATCCCTTGTCAATTTAGAACATTTTACGTTTTGCCTGAATATACAAATATGGTATCCAAAGACCCATATGGGGCTGGGGGAAACTCACATAAGGGTCTGAGCAGTGACCCCATTTTTGTAGGCAGTGTAAGTGGGGCACTGCAGGTTTTCTAGCCAGTCCTGCCAAGAAGGAACTGCAGATAAAAGTTAGTAAACAACCTGACTCTGGTAACAGTACAGGACCAAAGTATTTAGCTGGCCAATGACTGGAAAGGATGCAACTGACAGAACAACTAAGGGTAAACACCAGTCAGGCAGTGTGATGCAGAGTTCAAGTATAGCATCGGGAGTCACAAAGACCCAGCTCCAGGACTTAGTGACATTATGTGAACAAGTACAACCTCTCTCAATTTCAGTTTCCTTGTCTGTAAAATGAGGTTGCAAGTCATTTCTTACAGGGCTCTTACCAAGAACAGCTTCTTCAAATACCCCCAAAATACTATTTTCCTTCCTGTTGGTAGGACCAGCCTAAGATGTGTTTAAGAAAACACTTGCCTCTGCTTTGGGCAAATGGAGATATTTAACTTCCACTGCTATAGCAAGGGAGATCTGGTTTCCTCCTGAATTCTAACACAAAAGCCAGGCCATCATAGTGTATACCAAGAAAACAAAGCTCAGAGGACCACTTATGCAGGTGGCTTGACAGAGATCAAACAGCTTTGAAGAAAGACCTCTATGAGTTATTATTTTAGAGTTATCTATACATATTTTAAAGTTATCTATACATATTTCCTTCTTTCTTCCTTTCCTTTCTTCTTTCTCTTCCTTCTCCTCCCCTCTTCTCCCCTTTTCCTTCCTATTTCCTCCTCTTTGCTCTCCTCCCCTTCTCTTCCCTCTCCTCTCTTCTCCTTCTGCAGTAGTAGAGATTGAGCTCAGGGCCTCACAATTGCTAAGTTACTGCTTGAGCCACAACCCCAACCCAAGAATGATAGCTTGGGGAAGAATGTACGCTATTCTGTTCTTACCTTGGCAGTGAGGAAAACATTAAAGTGTTCATTGAAAGACAGCACAGGATGATCTGTAATTCGTTTTAAGAATTTATCCAAAGCTTTTCTTCTGGTTTCCACAAACTCCTCTGAAAAACGATCTACAACACCTTTCACCACAAACTTCTCAGGAAGTGGCTATGAAAACAGGAAGGAAAAGAGCAGCGTATTAAGATGGTGCAGGGAAATCCGCCAGCCAGCAAATACCTCCTGTTACCCACCTGTCCAAAGCAAAATTTCCAACTAGCCAGAAATTTATGCAGTAGTTAATGTATAGAAGTCAACATTCAATGTAGTTATCTTTACATTGCTTGCTATAATGGAAAACACAGTGCAAGATAGGGAGTCTAAGAAAAGAAGGCAGACAACTTCAGCCACACAGAAAATCATTAAAATATCTTAAAATTCTACTCCTGGTTGAAAGGGTTAAACACCTTGGTGAGTAAAGAAAAGGGGAAGTGGTTAAACTCAAGTATCTAAAAATATGTTTGCCAAGTCAATAATTTTTAGATTTGCATTCAAAATTTAATTTCCTTCATTTTTTAACCCAATTTTTTTTCTAGTTCAGTTCTTTCAGCCAACACTGTTAGGCAATTTAAAACTTCTTTTCACCAAGACAGAAATCTTGGAACCTGCTTTTTTTTCTTTCTCTTTTTTAGTGTTAGACATGGGCTTGAACTGAGGGCCTGAATTGGCCCTGAGCTCTTTTTGCTCAGGACAAGCACTCTACCACTTGAGCCACAGCTCTACTTTTGGCTTTTTGGTGACTAGCTAGAGCTAAGAATCTCATGGACTTTAAGTGACTGTGAAATCATTTGTTGAAGATCTCAACATGGCTCCAAGAACACACTAGATGTCCAATGCATGCTAGGTATATTTATTAGTGTAAGACTGAAAAAATGAAACGGGATATGGACTATGGACAGAAATTCCATACGCCTCTTTAGGCTAAAATGTTTCTAAAAATCATCTGAGATATACTTTTGCACCTACCAAGCTGATTAATTTTTAAACTGAAAACTATGTGTTAGGATTCGTTTTTAAACTGAAAACTATGTGTTAACAAATAACGTAGAAAGTCTGGATCCTCCAACATTGCTGGTAAGAACACAAAATGGTTCAGCCACTGTGGAAAACAGTTGGGCAGTTCCTCCAGAAATTAAACAGGATTGCCGTATGATGAAGCAGTTCCATTACATGGTGGACAGCCAAAATAACTGAAAACAAGCATTGACCAAGACTTAGGGTGGTAAATGTTGACAGCAGCATTATTCCCGATAGCTGGGCTAGGAAAAGGGAAGTGGCTGCTTTCCACATATGGGCTAGCTTCTGGGGTGATTATCAGGTAACTTGAATGGACGGTGGAGGCTGGGAGAAATGGGAGAAAATGATGAAAGGGGTAATATTAATCATAACGCACTGAACTCATGAACTGACATGTTGAACTGAAGCCCCTTTGTACAACTACTTAAAGATAATAAAAACTAAATGAAATAAAATAAAATGTTCTGGATTAAATAGTGGCGACAGTCATGTAACATGAATTGTTGTTATAAAAGCCATTCAACTATACACCTTAAAATGGCTATAACAGTGACTTTTACATTATATAAATTTTATGTCAATGTATTTTTTTTTTGGTTGGTTGTGGACCTTGAACTCTGGGCCTGGGCACTGTCTCTCAGCGATTCCACTCAAGGCTAGTGCTCTACCACTTTAGCCACAGCGCCATTTCTAGTTTTCTGGTGGTTAACTGGAAATAAGAGTCTCATGAACTTTCCTGCCCCGCTGGCTTTGAACTGCGATCCTCAGATCTCAGCCTCCTGAGTAGCTAGGATTACAGATGTGAGCCATCGGGCACCCAGCTGTTTTTTGGTTGTTTTTTTTTTTTAAGCAAAAGTGAGAGAAAAATATCACAAAGATGAGAAGATGCTCCACTGCTGGCTCTGAAGATGGAAAAGGCCGCAAGCTGAGGGATGTAGAAAGCACAAGGAGATGTGTTCTCCCCTACTGACTTCGGAACAGAAGCAGTCCTGGCCCACATGCTGACAGTAACACAATGAGACCAATTTCCAACTTTTGATGTATGGAGTTTTAAGAGAATACAGTTCTGTTGAAATCACTTGGGATGGGAGTTCATTTTATCAAACTTCTCTACTTTAGCTTATTTGTTATTTCTCTAATAAAGAAACTTTTTTCAAACAGAGTATGTAGATGTGTGATATAATCAGAAAAAAATCTCATTTGCAAATCATTAATCAATTAAAAATTTTCAAGGTTTAGCTACTTGAAGATCAAGAAGACCTCAGTTCAAGGTCAGCCCAGGCAAAAAGTTAATGAGGCGACAAAAAACTTGGCACAATGGCACAAATCTGTTGTGTTAGCTGCACAGGAAGCATAAGCAAAAGGATCATAGTCAGCCCCATCAAAAAACTGCAGATTCAGGGCTGGGAATGTGGCTTAGTGGTAGAGTGCTTGCCTTGCATGCATGAAGCCCTGGGTTCAATTCCTCAGCACCACATAAACAGAAAAGGCTGGAAGTGATGCTGTGGCTAAAGTAGTAGAGTGCTAGCCTTGAGCAAAAGAAGCTCAGGACAGTGCCCAGGCTCTGAGTTCAATCCAGGACTGGCAAAAACAAACAAACAACAACACTCCAGACTCTACCTAAAAAATACCTAGAGCAAAAACAGCTAGTAATACCAGTTGTGGAGCAGTGGTAGAAGGTGAGTCCCTCATTTCACACACCAGTACTACTAAAAAAAAAATTTTAAGGTTTAATCTTGAAAAGTTGATATGTTTGTAGCAGTTGATACTTTAAAAAGGCATTCTTGCTGGGTGCCAGTGGCTCACTCCTGTAATCCTAGCTACTCAGGAGGCTGAGATCTGAGGATCACGGTTCAAAAGCCAGCCCAGGCAGGAAACTCCATGAGACTCTTATCTCCAATAAGCCACCAGAAAACCGGAAGTGGTGCTATGGCTCAAAAGATAGAGTGCTTGCCTTGAGCTGAAGAGTGCAGGGACAGCGCCCAGGCCCGGAGTTCAAGCCTCACGACCAACAACAACAAAAAGAGGCATTCTCACATATATTATAAAGATGTGCGGTATGTTAAAAAAATTGTGATTATTGTCACTGAAAAGCTACAATTCCTGGGTAGGCAGTCTGGACTGTTTCTGCTGCTCAGTCTTGAAATGTCCAACTCCTCTTGCCAGCATTTAAACTGTGACTCTTACACACAATGCCATAAACACTGAACATACCTCTACCTCATGACAAGACCTTGCCTTTCCTCGCCTTATCATTTCATACAAAATATTGCTCCTAAGCAAAAAGAACTACTGGACAAATAAAGGAGTATCAAGAAAAAGAATTCTTGTCCCTATAAAGACTATTTGCAAAGCCTAGTTTAATTCAAAGGATTTAAAAGTTCAAACCCATGTTTTACTATTTATTACCTATCTATCAGGTTAAAAGTGTGGGGGGAGAAGGAAAGTAGAAGAAAATTGAGGAAGGGTTGACAAAAAATGTACTCATTACCTTACTTATGTAACCGAAACCTCTCTGTACATTACCTTGACAAAAAATATATATATATTAAAAAAGCGTGTACATTTAAGCCGGGCACTGGTGGCTCACGCCTATAATCTGCAACCAGCAAAAAAAAAAAAAACAGTGTGTACATTTAACAGTGCAAAAATAATAGTTCAGATAGCTCATTTCATATTAAAGCTACACAGTTGTCATGCTGTAAATTTTTCCTCTTCAATTCCTGGAAGAGTTTACTACTGGCCATAATAAAATTAGCCTGTACATAGTAAACACTCTTCCTGTAAAACTTCTTCATAAAAAGTGAAGCAGAGCAGGGCGTCGGTGGCTCACACCTGTAATCCTAGCTACCTAGGAGGCTGAGATCTGAGGATTGCAGTTCAAAGCCAGCACGGGCAGGAAAGTCTGTGAAACTCTTATCTCCAATAAACCACTAGAAAACCAGAAGTGGTGCTGTAGCTCAAGTGGTAGAGCACTTGCCTTGAGCTGAAGAGCTGAGGGACAGCGCCCAGGCCCAGAGTACAAGCCCCACGACTGACCCCCCCAAAAAAAAACATGAAGCAGGCTAGGTGCTGGTGCCTTACACTTGTATACCTAGCTACTCAGGAGGCTGAGATCTGAGGATGACAGTTCATAGGCAGACCAGCAGAAAGGTCTGAGAGACTATCTCCAATTAACCAGAAAAATACCAGACTAGAGATGTAACTCAAGTGGTAAAGTGCCAGCCATGATCACAAAAGCAGAACAAGAGTACAAGCCCCCGCCCCCAAAAAAGAGTACAAGGCCCTGAGTTCAAGCCCTGGAATGCCCCCCAAGGCGGGGGAGGGGGGGGATGATGAAGCAAACATTCAATTTCCAATTCCCAAATGAGGTTTCACAGATACATTTATATCAGGTTCTGAATCTATTATATCTATATATCTTATTGTGAAATCTGACTAGCAGTACTCTAGCAAAAGAGGCTATTCTAAGGCCACTGAGCAAGCACAGAAAAGAAAGGAATGGTGGTTACTAGGGAAAGAGAAGGGAGGGGAAGGAAACAAGAAGCTGTTGTTCAACTGGCACAGTTATTGCTACAAGATGAGTGAGTCCCAGATCTCTCCTATAAAACAATGATGTCTACATGCACATACTGTACACTTAGAATGTTGTTATGAGGATATATCTCATGTAGTCTTCTTAGAAACAGAAACTTTTGAGGGTGATGGGAATGTTCATTATCCTGATTGTGGTGATGGTATAAGCATACACACCCTTGCGAAATTGTACAGGTAAGGACTAGAGACAGTTCAACCCCTTGTACCACAAGAGAAAGAGACAGACACCAAGACAGACATTGCACAGCTACAGATTTTTTTTTTACCAGATATATCTCAAATGAAGTTTTTAAAGAACACTGGACAGGCATTCAAAGCTCACATTTGTAATCCTAGATATCCAGAAGGCTGAGATCTGAGAATACAGCTTCAAAGCTAGCGCAGGCAGGAAAGTCAATGAAACTCTTAACCAATTAACAACCCAAAACCCAAAAGCAGAAAACGGTTACAGCTTCCAGACTTATTTGTTAAAGGCTCAGTCCCCAGCTGATGGCACT